ATTAATGAAATTTTTTTTTGGTTTGGTTTTTGGGGAGTAGGAAAGGGTTCAAAATTTTTTTAACCCTTTTTTTTTTTTTTTTTTTTTTTTTTTTTTTTTGTTAATTTAGTTTGTTGTTTATTCAATTTTTTTCTGGATTTTTCTTCCGATTGATTGAATTTGATCTAGCTTGTTTGTTTGATTTTATTAACACTTTTTTGAGAAAATAAAAATTAATTAAATTTTTTTTCCAATGAATTCTGTTTTGGACATTTATTGGAATTTTCTCTCCCGCTTTTTCATCATTTTTTTCGCCATTGTCCAACACCAAAAACCAAACAAGGGATAACTGAGAAAAATTTACAAAATTTTGCCCATCAGCATCATCATAATAATCAAAATATTGATGATAATAATGTTGATTATCATCATTACCATCATTATCATCGTTATCAGTTTACCAAACTCTTTCCCCTCAACTCTTTTAACTCTTTCTTTCCAAAAAAATGATGATGATAAAAATTCTTCAATTTTTTCGTTCAACCATTCACCATTATTATCATGAATAAATTTACATATAGAAACAAATTCAGTTTTTTGAATTTTTGCATTTTTTCGTCCTTTTCACTTGAAAAATTGACTGTTTTATCGATATTTTGTCGTTGTCGTTGGTCCATTGTCATCCGGCCGGCCGGCCGGTTTCATTCGGTCCAAGTTTTCTTTCGTTTATTAAATTAAAATTTGTTTGTTTTTTCAAAAGTCGAAAAAGAGAGAGTGGAACTTGACAAACAAGCAAAATAAACAAATAAATTTAATTTTGTATATAAAAAAAACAAAAACAGAAAATTTTATCGAAATTGAAAAAAAAAAACTTTTTTTTTGAAAAATTCTGTTTTAAAGAGGAGAATGAAGAAATGCTGATGGAATGTATCATCATCATCATCATCGTAACAACATCTGTGTATGGCCGGGGTGTTGGTTGGATTGTTTCTTTGAAATTTATGATTATGGTCAGTTATGGAAATGGAAAATGAAATTTCTCGGTTCGTTGAATTCGTTTTTTTTTCAAAATTGGAAAATTTTCCATTTGGGTTCTTGCAGAATGTGAAAAAGACCCCAAAGACGCCCAAGACACTAAACAAAACAAAAAAGTTTAATTTGCATATATGTTGCTGCTTCTGCTGGTGGTGTGACAAACTGAAAAGAGAAATTCAGTAATGTAATATTATTATTCTGTTGTGATAATTTTATTACGCATGCGCTTTTATTTTCGTAAAAAAAAATAGAATATTCTCTCGCTATTCATATCCATTTTACCCTTTTTTAATTTAACCCCAGTTGTCTATCTACTATCTTTGTGTTAAATATTCAAAACATGCATTTAACGAATTCATCAAATTCAAATGTGTTATTATTTGTTTTTTGACTATTTCCACAACAACAACAACAAAAACTACCCTTATAATTTTTGTTTTGTTTGGAGAGAACTGAGGGTTGACGACGACAACGAGAAGGAAGATGAATAAGAATTTAAAGTTCAATGATAAAAAATTCTTAAACCTTGTTTAGAAATGACAAATGACGGGAAAAAAAGCGAAAAACATTTGAATAATTTTTCCAATGGACATTGGTCAGTGTGTATCTAGTGAAAGCATGTGTGTGTGTGACAAGAAAGAAAAATGTTTTTTTCATTTTTTGCTTAAGTAATCAATCATCGCAATTTTGTTTTTTCGCAATTTTGTTTTTTTCGCAATTTTGTTTTTCGTTTTTTTTCTGCTTTCGATGCTTTTTTTTTCTCTCTCAAATATGTTTGTGTGTGACAGATGTGTGATTGTCTACATAATGTGTTACATTATTATTATAATCATCGCTGTTACAAAATAAATATGGGTCATGAATTTTAGTTATAAAAAAATACAAACAAAAAATTTTTCGGGCTATTTTGACATGAATTTGGAATAACTACGGAATCATGTAGTTTTAGACAACATGATTCCATCTAGTGACAGTTTTTTGAAATACATTTTTTCTTTGATATTTCGCCAGCCACAAGATGGCTGGTGTTGTTTTATTTTGCAATTTTTCATTTGATTTTTTTTTTAAATTTTTTCTAATTTTTTAAATTCTTTCTTTTTGTTGTTACAGAATTTCCTGGATGAATAAATATGACAGTATGTACCGAATATGGAATCTGGATCATAATTTCAATGAATGAATGAAGAATTTGTTGAAATCGATTCTGCTGCTGATTCTTTTCAAATCCATCAAGAATATTCTCTCTCGCTTTCTCTCTCCCGAATTCTGTTCATTCAATTCAATTTTCGGTTCTTCATCTTTTCTTCTTTGGATTCTTCTCTTTGTTTTGTTTTTGTTTTGTGTCGTCTATTTCGACCTAAATAATAATACCTATGCCAATCGAAATATAGAAAAGTCATTTTATTCACAAAATAAAATAATCCGATTAAAATTTAACCAAAAAAAATTCTTTCAAATTTTCATTCGAATGCAATCGAAGCCAGAAGCAAAAACAAAACAAAAAAAAAACAAAAATTGAAAATGAAATGAATCGACATTGTCTATTTGTTCTAATCAATTTTTCGGTAAAGTTTCCAGCAACCAAAAAAAAAACGGATTATGATTCGAAATTGAAACAGAAGAAAATTTTTCAAATAGCAAAAAATACGGAAACGAAAGAAAGTTCTCGAAAGTTTTCAACAACAAAAAAATTTCCCAATATCATGAATATGATGATGATGATCAATAATAATAATGAAGAAAAAAAAGAAAAAGATTATTTAAATTACTAACTAAAAAAGACAAACTTGAAAAACCTGGAATCAGTAAATATATCAATATAGTCTGGAAAATCATCTAGTAATATTTGATTATCGAGTAAAAATGAATCAAAGAAATTTTACTGAAAATTTTTCTATTAAAATTCAATTATTCTAAATAGTACAAATCAAACGCAAGTTCAATAATCAAAAGAATTCAATTGCAATTAGCGGGAACGATAGAATAATCCTTTTTCTTTCCTTTTTACCTGAGTGTTTTGTTGTGTATGTTTGTTTGATCATTATCTCATCATCAAAATTTTTTACAATCATTTTTATTACGACAGTGCCTTTACATCAACCCAAAAAACTAACTTTTAGATCTTTTTTTTTGTGTTTTACAAATCATCATTATCGTCGCAATCACCGAATTCATTTTGCACAAATTTTTTTCCATTATTCTGTAATTCTGTAATTCTGAATTTATAAAATTTGAATTTAATGATCAACATTGCCAACAAACAGCAAACAAACATAACCCGAAAATGATAGGCGTAAGCGGTAGTCGACATATTGGACGTCGTAGAGGTTCAACAGCATCAACACAACAACAACATCGTTTATCAATCATAGAATCAGATATTGGTGAAAATAGTGATCGAAGAAATTCACAACATCGTGATTCAAAAGATGTATCAGATGGATCAGCAGCCGTAATTAATCGTAAACAATCAACAACAAATGAATCAAATCAACCAACAACAACAACAACAACGGCGACAACAACAACAACAAAATCACCAAATCAACAACAACAACAACGAAGACAATCATCAAGAATGTCAATATCGACTGGTGGTGGTGGAGAAAGTTTTCCGGCAACACGTTTTAGACAACGTCGTCGTGCTGTTGAAATATCTGATCAACGTACATGTGCATTATTACATTCAAGATTAAAAGGAATGAAATTAGAAGATATTGCGTAAGTAGTGTTAAAATAAATTACATTTTTTTTGATTTTTGATCACAAAATTGATTTTTGAAAAGGGGGCGCTTTTTTTTACTTACCTGTGTAAATATGACAGGTATTTTTTCACTTTTGCTGCTGCTGCTGATGTTTAACTAATCTTTTTGTCATTTGATTTGATTTTATTTTGTTAACACCTTGGTTGTTTTTAAGGTGTGTTTGACAAACGAATCAAATGAATTCCAGTGTTGAGTGATTGGGAAAATTTTCCGGAAATTTTTCTTGTCTATTATGATTTGATAATTGAATTAACAGCAAATTTTTATCATAAATTTTGCTGCTGGTTTGGTTGTTATCAATGTTTGTTTTGTTTTGTTTTTTCTTTTCTTTTCAGGCAATTTGTTTAAATTAATCAAAAATGAATTCCTCATTATCAATGAATGAATGAATGAATGTTTCCATTTTTTTGAAAAATTTACTGAACAAAAATTTTGGTTTGTTTTTTTTTTATAAATCGGATTAATCTATAAAGTGTCTGTCTGTGTGTGTGTGTGTGTGTGTGTGTTGAGAATTTCATGTGAAAAAAAAGAGATAAACAAATGAACATCATAAAAGTTTAGAATTCCCGGGAACTTTCTCTCCTCCATCTTGTTATTTTTGAAACAAAGTTTTTTTTT